GAGAATCCCAAAATTATATTTAAAAAAAAAAAAAAAAAAAAAAAAACACACACACACACACATTTTTTAGAGTTAAGGGATTAAAAAAAATGCTTAAAATAGAATAGGGATAATAATAATTATGTCAAACTCTAGAGTTGAGGGACTAAAATTGGTATTTAACCTATATTCTAATAGTTGGACTAGATAAAAGAATCATTTGTTTGATCCATTAAAAATAGCTATTAACTATTGGTTTTAATCAAACAGATTAGATATTCTATAAATATCAATAATTATCATTTATCAGATATCAACTATTAACTATCATTTATGTTTTTCAAAAAAACTAATCTAAATAAATAGTTACTACTATCTCCTGTGCTCCAAACTCCTCTGCTAGGGTTTGGAGTCGGCGGGCCTCTTCCTTCGGGAACCCTCTCCGGCAGCGGAGCCCCTCTACTTTCTCTTCCGTCTCTGCGTCGAGCCTCTGATCTATGGTATTTGGCCGTTTCAAATTGGGGTGTCATAAATCTGGTGCCTCTCCTCAACTTTTGTTTCTGCAAATCACGTGGGGCGTTTCCAGATCTCTGCAATTTTGCTCTATTTCGCAACTTGGGCGGTGCGTGCTAGATCTCTACAAAAATCCTCTGTTTTCATTACTGAACCTCCATCTCGATCATGGCAGCAGATGAATCGGGTTCTATGCTCAATCGGATTCGGATTGCAGAGAACGAAGATGGATTTCTCCCACTGCATATGGTTTGGAAACAGGAAGATGCTTGGAATTTCAGTATTGCCATGCCTCTGTATTGCTTAGATCTAGGGTATCTGAGTGGTAGTCATTGGAGGCTGATTGGTTTTTTCGATTGTAAGCCAAAGGAAAAGGATGAGGTTGGTGAAGTCGCTACGGGGGAGAATGCCAATTCAGACTCAAAAGGGGCTCTAGTTCCCTTATTGAAATTTGGCAACAAGGGCTTGCAAAGGATTGGAATAGTTAGGGCATGGTTGGGAGCCCATGGCGATAAGGGAGGTGCCTGGGTTTGTATGGAGGAGCATGGCCCTCCTATTGATTGAAACTGTTTTAGGGACGACATATAGTGGGTTGGGGACTGCTGATGTCGAATTTTCCCTGCTCTCCCCGTGAAGCTGGCTAAATAGGTGAAGACGTCCAGTAGTTTCAGACACTCATAGCGACTTTTTTTTCTACTTTTGTAGCCCTATTTTTGCCTTTACAGCGATTGTAGCTACAATCTTTAGTCACAGATGGCCCTCTTCGCTTAATTGTCCATATATGTCATGGGCACAGTTTAAATCTGTTACTAATGCTGTAGGTTACGCTTCTGTCCTTAATTTGGCTATACTGCCTGCTTGAGATTCATCTGTAATCTCTTTATATTTAATATAATTTTCTAT